TCTCTCTCTCTCTCTCTTGTTCTCTCGCTTCGTCTCGATCGGCACGATCCCATCGTAACCGGCACGGATTAATTAGACGCTCTTCTCTCTCGTTAGACGATGGAGACTGGCCCGACCGCTCGCTGGATTTCTCTCTTCTAAACAAACAATCTCTTTTCGCCTGTAAATCCGTAGAGTCTAGCCAACTTAACTTTAAACTGTGTCGCGCGCGCGCGCGATATCTGCGTCGGACGCGTCCCGCCGCTCGGCGGCTCGCTCCTGAGCGACCAACCATTGGAAATCGCGGGTTGATTCGATTTCGGTCACTCCTGCAAACGGTTTCTACGATTGCCTTTGAATTCGAGAGTTATCTCGTTAGTACCAGCAACAGTTGCTTTGTTATTGATCATATTTCGATGTTAAATGTTCCCTTCGGTTCAATTTTCCTTGTCTCCTTTCAATTGATACAAGCAAAGGAATTTAGAGAGATACGTTCGTAATCAAAGGAGTCAATTTAAAGCATTAACTATGTGTTTTGGTATTTTGTTTAAGATCGAAACGGAAATTCCAGTGGAAAATTGTTCCAGAGTGGAATCATCGTTCCTATTTTCGCGTGTTGTCGTTCTGTCCAAATCTATCCCCGACGAGTCCGTGTTTGCCTTGAAAATCCATCGTGATTTCGCGAAAAAATTGATCGTCGGGAACGACAACGTGTCGAGTATCAATGCGAACGATTAAAAGAGAAACGAAGAAGCGAGTCCGCCGATCGACAGACACGATCTCAGGTCCTCCTGGGAACGGACGCGTCCGGTCCAGGCCCCGCGCTCGTTTTTAAACCTCGATTAACTCTAACTATTCAGCAAAACTTAGTCTACGTTAAGTGGCATGCGAACAGATCGAACCTTCCTAAGGCGCGTGTCAGAAAACGAGAATGCGTAAGCCGCGGCAAGATGGTCGCGCGAGCAGCTCGGCCGCCATTCGAATCGAGCACCGCGACGCTTGCTCTGCACCACTTGACGGCAACCGCCATTTTGTCGGAGCTGCGCCGCGCGACCGTCGCTCCGCGGATTGATCTGACGCTACGACTCGTTCGAAAGCGGGATTTCTTCCGATCGAACTGTGAACTTTTTCATTTAACGAAGTGAACATTTGAATCCTTCATGCCCCGAAGGTACCGTGAAGAATTTCCACTGAAGCGTTGTTAAGAATCAAATGTGTTTACGGTGTCATTACTGCAGAATATATTTATACCTAGCGTGTGTACCGTTGAAATAGTTTTAAGCACAGATTCCATTTGATTCTTGGATTCATTGAATGAACACGTTGAACGTCACGAGGGTCACCGATAAGCCCAACCAAATCGAAATACTTTCGCTCAATTAAACGATGATCATTTGAAAACATCTCTATATTATAAATAACGCTGTCTGACGCGGTGACATTCTAGATAAACGCGCAATAATAATTCGACTTGTTCAAATGATTTAATATTACATTCTCCCCGTTTCGTGTATCTTGTGCTACTAAATCGTGCGGCGTTCAACGTGTTCATTCCCGAAGTCGGCGATCTAAGAAATCCCGTCTCGAACAGCGAACTGGTTCAAGCGTCGCGTTTAAATCCGTCGATCGAACGCTTTCGTGTGCTCCATTCGCAAGACGCGTTCGATGGCCAGAGCGAAGAGAAACCGGTGTGATATTTTCTTAAAGGAAAGGAACGACGGACGGTTTAACGAGGAAAAGAAGGGACAAGACTCGGGGAATGGCATTTAGGCTCGCGAGGAGTTGGTTTTCTCAAGGTCTCGATCAACCTTTCAATCTTCCTCTTTCGGAGAATCTGAAACTTACCTTCGGCACTCGTTAGTTCTCAAACGTTTCCGGCCCGTGCTGATCAGCCACGATCAAGCATCGGTGTCTACGAGTCGGCGAAGCATGGACCGACGGTTATCACGGAACACAAAGTTAACAACACGTTCACTATCAGCGTCACGTATTTTCCACGCTCGTAATATACTTTGCACGGAGAAAATGAAATCAATGCTACGAATATTATTATTTAAAGCTATAAAACAGAGCATTATATTTAAAAACCCCGAAGAACCCGTTTCAGTATTATTTCCTTCAATATTTCAGATTTATCGGTTCGAATGGAATATAGAGATCGTCACCGAAACAAACGCTGCTAGCGAACGTGTTAATGAAAGAGCCGACGAGATAGAGCATCGAGTGTCGATATTATCAGGCGATTTAACGGCACGCAGCAGAGGTTCCGTGATTCCGCTCGAAGCCGATCCTCACCGAGCTATTTTTTCGCTAACATACTTTCGAGTTCTCGATGTCACGCTATGACACGCTATTGGTGATACCGTTTAGACGATGTTGAATTATTCTTACGACTATGATTATTACCGTTATTATTATTACCGTTTACGAGGATCGTCAGCATCACCGTCATCATCATCATCATCAGCATCACCGACGTCACCATTATCATCATCATCATCATCATCATCATCATCATCATCATCATCATCATCATTGTCATCGTTGTTGTTACATGTACTACACGCGAGAAGAAACAGAGAGTACGGGAGAGCGGGAGAGAACGGTAAACGTGTTGTACAGGCGAAATCGGTGCGAGAGTGCGGTGAGTGAAAGCGAACGAGCGACAGAGCGAGCGCGAGACGGGGAAAGGGGGTTTAATTAGCCGGGCGGAGAATTTTTAATTAAGCCGTTGAACAGATTCTGTATAATATATGAACATGTTTCAAAGTACGTTTTAAACGCGTAGATTTAACGATAGCTGTAACGTGATATCGATTAAGGTTTAAGGACACGACACGGTT